AAAAAAAAAGCAAGCTTTCATCACATCAACATCCTTAGTCCAATGCACGCGACTCACCAGCTTTGAAGCTTGAACAAAGCACGCTTTTTGAGGTTGATCTCACAATCAAACTATTTGGGTTCAACACAACTACTCAGTTAGTGAATGAGTAGTGAACTAAAGTTGTTGTGAAGTATAAAAATTATTAGTTATTATTTAACGATTGATCGTTATTATTTATTTATATTGATAATATTGAAAATATTGGAAGGTTAAAGTTGAATTAAATTTTGAATATGAATTAATTTAGTTTGGGTAAATTCTTTTACAAACACACCCAAAGTTTCCATTAAAATAAATTCTTTTACTACGATTATCAGTGCGGGCAGATAATCGTAGCGTCTTCTGCTTAACTTCATGATTTGTCATGTAATTATACATTCCTTATTCGATATTCTTCTTTACTTCTTTTGCTAAATTCATTTCCAAAGTTCCAACCAAACAATAACATAGCTCAAACACCTGTCAACAAGCTACCAAAGGAAAAACTAAAACAAATGTAACTAAAAAATGAACACACCATGAAGTTAAGCAGAAGACGCTACGATTATCCACAGAAAATGAACAAATGTAACCTTTTCTCATTAATCCTTTAAATAGAGGTGACTAAAAATAGCAGGGACAAACAGGGGTGTGGTCCAAAATACAAACTACAGCAACAAGAAATTATGAAATAATTATAATTCTAAATTAGGGTTCGACCATAAGAACAAGAACAGTTACATCTGCTGCTGAGGCAGGGCGGGTCGTTTCTCAACCATTTCATATTGCAAGACAAAGTTATCCTGCAAATGGGCAATATATCAGCATGATATCAATTTCCGTATTTCCTTATCACGGATACACAAAAATCAAGTTTTCTATGGCAGAGAAAAAAAAAAATAAAAAAAATTGCAAACCTTTCTTGCTGTCTGCCAATTATTGGGATCGAAACAAAAATAGCAGCCTCTCTCGTAACTATTTGTCTTTACAAGAGGCTCCATATTCTTCACTCTCGTGAACCACAGCCTTAGCTCTCTGTGGTAGAACCACCCTCTATTGTAACTGCAATGAATTACCAAATAGGAAAAATTATGAGTGAGAGGGTATCTGGTGTTCACAATCGATTTGAGATTATTTTTTCTTTCTTGCACAATCTTTCTAATGAAACTTTCTGTTGACCTCTTCTCACAACCTCAAAATTCATAAATACACCATGAGCCGTTAAAAAAAGAATCTATATCTATATATAAAAGAGGTTTATATTTACCTAAAATAGAAACTAAAATCCCCCCTTAAAAATTAATAATTTTTTTTTTAAAAAGTATTAAAACATCCCACCTCTAAAAAAACTAATTAATCAATTTATGATATAAATTCGGCAAAATTAATAAATCCAGTTCCGATATAACGTTGGCGATTTTATTTGAGGTATTGATAGCTATTTTTATTTTTGGTATAAAATGTGTTGTTAAATAAATGTTCAAATTTATTGTATAAAGTAGGCGTTTTATTTTAGTATGACATGTCTAAATTTAAATGATATGGATAGAAGTGTAATTGAAAATTTTAAAGTCAAAATAAGTGATATGAATTTTATTTGATATGAGTATGAAAATCGAATATTAGATTGATTTGTCATAAAATCAAAGGTGATATGATTTTCAAATTTTAGCATATTCTCATAATAACTTTTCACAAGATACTGATGATATTTCGACAAATTGATATGTATTCCTCTTGAAAATCAAAAAATCTTTGAATAAATTTTGGTTAATAAAATTTTAAACTTGTTATTTAATACTAGAAAATTAGAATATAAATTTGAATGTAACGGACAACAAATATAGAAAAATGTGACTTTAGTGTGTAGTCCAAACTTGGGTTGCAAATTTAAAAGCTAAATAAATAATTATTCATAATTGAAGGGGTCGATATTAACTTTTACGTAAATGGAATAATCAATTATTTAAGGGGTGATTGGATATGAATTCAACTAGTTAAAAACTAGTTTTTTTTTTTAAATTATAATTAAGTTTGAAAAAAAGTAGTTTGGTTAGTTGTTAGTGGATATATTAAAATAATATTTAAATTATAATAATTAAAATTGATTTTATGTAAAAGTAGGAAAAAATGATTGGAAGTGATGATTAGTTAAAATTATGTGAGTGGATGAATAGTGAATTAAAGTTGATGTGATATTTAATAATGATTCGTTGATATTATTTAATTATATTGATAATATTGGAGATAGTGAAGTTGAGTTAAATTTGAGTTTTGAGTGGGATATTTACTGTTGAAAATGTAAACAATCACGCCCATAGTTTAATAAATAATCAACTACTAAATTATATATAGTCAAAATTTGGGTTGCAAATTTAAAAGCTAAATATATTACTATTCATAACTTGAGGGTCAATATTAACTTTTTTACGTAAGCGAAACAGTCAATTATTTATAATTCAATAAATTAATCAAATACTTAAATTTTTTTATCTGAATAGTTTATACAAAAACAAATTCATCTTAGTTAATAAAACAATATAAGTTATAATTATACTTATTATTCATAGATTTTTTAAATATATGATAAAATTTTACCAAAATGATTATTTTATGTAATCACATTATAGTCAAACTGAATATTGAATAAACATTTTAAAATAACACTTATTTTGAAATGAATATAATATAATTTATTATCAGTTAAGTGCACCGTACGAATTGTGTATTAATTTTAAATAGACATGTTTTATGTAATTTTGCACAATTTAAACTTCATATAACATTTTCAATAAATTAATATAGGTAACTGTATTACATATTGATTCCATATTTTTATTTATAAATATTATTTAACGAGCACTTTTAGTTTATAAATATTAATGAATATCTCTTATCCGTGCATCGCATGGGATTCGTACTAGTAAATAACAGTAAGTGAAAGAATATAGCAGTGGGCAAAGCAATCTAGACTGCGAATCGGGTTTTCTCAACTAAGCATCTCAGACTCCAACATGGACCAACAAATTCTCGGGCTATCTCCAATCTAATATTAAATCATGTGTTACTAAATATGATCATCTTGTTCTTTTTTTTAATTACATTACCTCTTCTTGGATTACAATAAAGGATAAAGCCATACTGTTTACATTGTCCCAAACAACTACTATCATTCCTTAGGATCAGTCATCTGCAGATAGCTCTTTTATTAATCACATGGTAACTCCTATATTTTTGCACAGAAGTGACAATGTAGCAATGAACAATCTATCTTCATCACAAAGTACAATATGTATGTTTACTTCATTGCCAAACTTACTTTAACATTAAGAACAGTTCTTGACCATCTTCTAGAGGGATAAATTCAAGCCCATAATGATGATAGAAACATGATACAACAACCTTAAACAACGCAATCTAGATGAATATTACTACTAAAAACTTCTAGGATAAGATTTAAGAAAGTATTTTTTATTGTGAAAGTCCTGAAACTAACTTTACCCACCAAATTATTGAGGTGAAATCCAACACTGCCATAAGAACATAAGAACAGGTTTCTCTTGTGGTGGTGTTGCATCATAAAAATGTTAAACCTGTCTTGTGGTTATGTTATCGACTACTTAAAAACACATATCTACCACCTGCAGTTTGAGATTGTTTCTCAAACTGTACATCTCTACCATATCTCCTACATTTGCAACTCTAGCAAAAGGCTCATATGCTACTTCCCATTTTCTCAATCCTTTCGCATATGGCACATCTAGCATAAGATAAGTCATATGCCCGGAGATCCTGTTATACTTTTAATCATCTAACTTTATATTCTTAATAAAGAGAAAGTGTGTGTAAAGAAAATGGGAGACTTACAGTTCATTTGCTGCAAATAGCTGGGCCTCATCTTTTGGCATGCTTTAAATTAGAAAGTTAAAAAGGAAAAAATCCACAAATTAGTATCATGAAGACTATTAGACTGCAAAATTTCATATTTAAGTACTGGGGGTATCCTGCAGATCATCACCTGTAAAAGATATAGAACAAAGTTTCTGGACGGAATCTTGCAAAGTAACTTTGCTGCATTATAAAAAATGTTTACCAATAAATAGAACTGGGGAGAAATGGTAGCATAATAACCAAACCATAATAACTGACTAGATTCACCTTTAATGGAGGAGTTTGTTTTGCATAATAACACTCAGGAACGTTGTACTCCGGCTCTCCTCTAACAGGCTCATCAGACCAGGGAGATGCAAACTTTTTGTGAAGTGTCTCAGATGAGTTTAGATTCAGGCCAAGAGTTGTTAGATCAATTCCCAGTGCAAGAGAGGTCAAAGCTGGGTTGACCATCTTTATGATGCTTAATAAACCAAGCATTCCATATTGATCTGGTAAACTTTGAGAACTCTGAGTCGGCTTCATCTCTTTATCTCTAAATGGATTAATGAAACGCGATTGAGATTGTTGGAATTGCTGATACTGCTGCACAAGACATTATGAGCCCCCAATTAGTTGGAAGAGCTAAACCAGCAATCACCTATGACTAGGTAAAATGATGCTTAACAAAATAGAAATTGAGAGATCATCAACCTTAATTTCAAAGAAGACAAAAGGAAAAAGACGGGATATACAAGATCTTTAGTGAAAAAGGTTATGAAGGATGAAGAAAGATAGTTGCATGAAATAGATCTGCTAAAATCAAGCTCCGACAGTACCCATACCTCAGGACCATGAAAATGAAGATCTTGATTGCCTGACGTTAGATAAGAAACCCCTGTGCCATTCATGGACGAAGCACGGTGTTGCTGAGGATGGTGAGATGAATACGAGCCCCCAAAATTGAATCCGGAAGCTCTACCCATCTGCAAACGCATGCAATTTAATCATTTCGGGAAATCCGCACAAGGTTCCAAGTGAATCACGTGGTGGAGCATAGCAACTTACAGATAATTGCTGAGACTGCATTAAATTTGCCATACTGTCGTGCATCTGTTCTTTTTGGTGTGCATTTATGGTATATTCACCACCACCCCCAACGTTAAGACCGCCTGCTTTAGAAAAAATGTAAAATACAAAACAATGTGTGCAATAATGGACAATGCAATCTAGAAATAAATAAAACCAGAACCCGTAGTGAAAAAACTTCATGAGGCAACCCGCCTTTCTTATCTATCATCAGTAAAGGTTACTACTTGCTTCACTGAAACAAGCTTTTCCTGGAGAAAAGAGAGAAAATATAGGGAATGCGGAATGGCGCCATAGAAAAAGGAAAGCACATACTTTATCCCACAGCCCTCACACACACTTTGACAGTCACCACCTTCCCAACAATTGCCAAATTCGAGGTACTTCCCAATAACTCATTTCTGGTGCCTATTTGATTGTATTGAATTGCCAATAGAATAGAAAACGAATGTTTCAATTGATTTTTAAAGGAAAAAATGGGGAATCGGAGATGTTTTTTGACTGATCTGGATTCTTAAATATATGGGTAAAATGTTTTGGTCCCTTAAGAAAATTCTGGTCAGTTTCAGCATATCCATAGCTTTCTGGGCAAATTCTCACAAATATGATAGGGTATTGTTCAACCTTCAAACAATAACTGGTCCAAAAAATTATTTCCAAAACAAAAACTTCATGAATTTCAATTTCAAGCATCACTATTGCACTATGTAATTGCTAGATAATTCTATTTATAGTTGGGAAAGAACAGTGAAGTCCATCCGAACCATTGCATTATTATCCTCTCTGGATCCTTAATCTTAATGCCTCCTAAATATCGTTTCTTTTTCACAAGCATAAGTTCTAAATTTCTGATGCGGAGTTACCTACTAAGAAGCATGCTAAACACGAGTAAATTCATTTGACCTCAATTGAGAATGAAGAATAAAAAAAATAATAATTAAAAAAAAAAAAAAAAAACTTCCATGGAAAGCATGACTAAGTTTAATGAAATAGCAATAAGATAGGATGTTCCCATTTACACAATGGTATACGAGGTACCCCAGCAAGGGCTTCCTAAGGTCTCATAACATAGAAGAGGAATTGAGAAATTTAAGCACCTTTATATCCAGGCAAAGCAGGGAAATCTTCATTCTGAATGCTGAATTCTTGATTCTGTTGGGCAAAACCAATATTATGCTTTTGCATCAAACCTTCATGGTAAGAAGCACCCAAAATCGTTATTTATGCAGATACTGCAGAATGCACAATATACATCCAAAATGACTGGCAATATTGTTAATACCTAATTGACCATGAGAGCTACCAGCCGACGGAGGACGCCCAGACAGCTGAGGAAAGTCATTAACATCAAATGTAGCATTATCATGGGCATTTGAATCGTTTAGTAATGCCATAAAACTAAAATTGTTGTTTCCAGCTTGAAACTGATTCTGGGAGAGCGGTACACCACCGCCTGAATAAGAATTGCCTAGCATTGATACCACCTGTGGAGCTGAAATTCTAGGCGTCACGTCAACAGCACCAAAGGTAAACATAAGAAAATGCTAGTGATTTTTGAGCTCCAAAACCACAAAATTACTAATTAGCATAAACTTATCCAAAGCATGATACAGGAGAACCATTGACACATGATATTACGGAACATGAACAGCCAATATAACAAAAGAAAGTGCTTTGCGAAAGCATACATAGGATTTCACACATAAATTACTAAATAAAAAATCATATGTTTAAAGGGTGGTTTCAACAGTCCCAGAATTCAATCGCTACCAGGACACAAGGGCATCTTAATGTCTTTATTATTCATTTATATGTTAGGCTCCTGATTTTAAGATACTATAGACATTGATTGTAAATCTGCAACAATATTGGCAAAGCTTTAGCAAACTTAAGGTGCCATTGAGAAATCAAGTCCAGGTATGGTAACTATTTACCCGTCAGGTTCAAGCGAGAAGCAAGGCCAGGGATGTTTGCCACCCCAGTACTAGCACCCCTTGAAGTATTTCCCCCGCTGACAAGACCACCGATAGAGTTTGTAATACGCCCTGTATTTCCCATATTTGGCATGACACCTGGACCTGAAAAAATAAAACAAATAAATTAGTTATAAAAGCAAATTACATTAGCATATTAACGAATAAAATAAATACATACCCCCAGTATTTGTAACACCTGAATGCCCATGCGAACTTCCAAGAGATAGCTACGCCAAAGGTGACAAGCAGAATAGGATTAGTCTCCCATGAGTAGAGTGAAAATGCTGTCACTATTTGCACATAATATCTCTTCTGTGCATGTACACATAAGTATTTGAAGGATTAATCATGTCACCGACACTACATCAAGGAACATCATCTATACCTGAGGAAGTGCATTAGGAAGACCGTTAATTGCATATCTCCCATTGGACATACTTCCTGGTGCTTGCTGGACACCGTTCGGGAGACCACCAAGATTAGCCGAATTCCTTGAGGCATAGGGCCCAGGTATATTAGACATGTTGAAGCCACCACCATGCATGTTGTGAAGTCCTTGAACATTTCCTGCTGAGAGAAATCAGTTTGTTAACTTAAACATGTACTCTAGAAATAAATCTAAACTCAAGTAACTAAAAATGTAAACCACCAGATTGATTCAATACGGCTCCAGAAGAACCAGACTGAGCGGAAAAGGAAGTTGTGAAAGCTCTTCCAGTGTTATCTGGAAGGTTTGAATTTGATCCATTCAACCCCGACTGCAATGCATGTGCCACGAAATTCAGTGAAAATATAAAGGTTTGCTGATGCCTTAAAATGAGAATAACTTCATGAACCGCACTAGGCGGGAACAGGGGATAGACATCAAGATATATTCAACAAATTTCAATTTTATCACACGGATAAAAACTGCAATACTAAATTGATAGGCACACGAAAAAAACAAACCAAATGAAGAGCAAAGTAGAAAATTACACTGAGTATCCCTGACATTTCAATTTCCTAACAGAAAAGACAAAAGACCATTCTTTTCCACAAAGGGCCCTTGTAGATGTTAGTAGCAACTTCTACACCAACCTGATGAAAAAAGAAACCATAAAAAATCAGGATCTGAAAATGAACGCCCCCACGCACACACAACTGAATGACTGATCCCCACAGATTTTTCGAAGTTTATGGGAATACCAACCCACATTCGTAAAACTATCTCCCACAACAAAACAAAACAAAACAAAAAAAAAGGAACTCGTGCTCGAAGAAGAACAGACTAGGTTTCTGTAAACAATAGCTGCCTTGGACCTGAGCTTGTACTAAACTTCCGACAGTCAGCTCTCCCGTTATCGGACATACTACTTACTAGATTAAATTTTACAAAAATCAATAAATCAGGTCAGATTTATTAAGAACACGATCAAGGGTAATGGCCAACTGATGAACACCTTTTTTAGCCAAATTTGCACCAACGAATCACCGATCACTGAGAGTGTATATACTAACAACCCTCAAAAGCGTAGGGCTAGAAATTATTTGCACCGCGGTTACCTAATTTGCCGATCGCCCAAGCCGGACGGCGTATCCTTTGTGCTGATTGTGGTGGGGTTTTGCAGCTCTCGGAGTGGAGAATTTCGAAGACGATGAATACTTTTTCACAGTGCGGTAGATTGGAACACTAGTCTTGGACTCATAAGATAAAAGTAATAATTGGGCTTGGAATATTTATTGGGCTTGGCGAGGAACTTCTCAACAGATGCTTGACAAATATAGACGGCCATTTACATAGGTGTTACAGTAATCGTGCGATGCACGGGAGCATTATTATCTACTTGTAAAATGTATTTTTGTACTTAAAATATCTCATGATATTTAAAATATCATGAAAATAAAAATTATGATCAACATTCTTAGTTTGATTATTTGGAACGTAAAATATTATATGAGTGTTCGAATTTTATTTAAAATTATGTATTATTAGTTATTAATTAACAAATTACATTTTTTAAAAAAAGATAAAGGGATCTTGTTTATTAAACAATGTTATAGTAGAAAGAAAGTAAAGATTCTTAGGGTTTTTCCACACCATTTTTTAATTCTAATTCAAAATTTTGATTAAGTAAAATTGAAAAGAATCATTAGTTTTTCCTAAAAATGAAACCAAATTTTCTTACCAATACACTGATTTTTTACCTAACAAATTGATCCAAATGTTTGGTCAAAATAAAGTGAAAAGAATCATCAATTTTTTTTCTAAAATTGCATTCGAATTTTCCTAACATTGCAAAGATTTTGTTACTGAACAAATTGAATTGAAATTAATTGTAATAAACGATCGAAATATTTTATTAAGATTTATGCAACTTTTGCTTTCCTAAAAAAATTGATACGAACTTAATAAAAAAATTGATATGAACTCACCAAAATATTGGTAAAACATGGTTAAGAAAAACATACGAATCTAAAAACATCGGTGCATTCAATTTTAAAAAGTTGTACACGATTTGATTTGAATTTATTTCCTAAATAATTGGATAATGTTGATTTTAGATGTCAAAGATGAATCGATTTTGTTACCAAAAAGTGGATACAATTTGAATGTATATCCCGTTGAAACTTCAGTTTTTGTTTTATAATAGCGAATGCGCGTGGTTTTATCCAATTTGCACACATTTTTTAAGGACAAATTATTCAAAAAGATTGAAATAATTTGTTAAGAATTATACAACTATTTATTTCCTGAATTTTTTTTTTTTTTTCCAAAACGATAGATGTATTATAATCAAAGGGCACAAATGTGCAACTACAAACTGAGAGGACAGGTCCAAGGACCGCCTAGAACCTCAACTAACCAAACTAGAAAACAAACCGACTCGACATACTACCAACAACTAGAATCGCTCCCCACAGGAGAATAGGATCGGCCCCCACGGGGTAATCAACACAGGGGCCAACGGCCCAAACCAAAAAGACAATACACAAAACACACACTCAGGCAAAAAGCCCAGACCAAAAACACTAAACTAGAACTGAATTTGTTTCCAATTTGCATGATTTTTAATTTTTTTGTATTTAGATTTGTTTTCATGAATCTCCAAACTTGTTTCCAAAAAACTAGAATTCAAATTTTGGTTAAAAAAAATGATCAGAAAAAAAATATGATTCAAATTTTGGCATAAGAATCTCCAAATTTGTTACAAATAAATAGGATTTAGAATCTATACATATATAAAGAGAGAACTTATTTACTAAAAATAGTAATAAGAAAAGTCAACAAGTATTTATTGCATTATATTTTCGACACTTATTAAATTTTCTATTTAAATTATCCCAAAAAATTAAGCAGCTATATATGCACCCTAAATTTATTGGTTTTGTGGATTTGATTTAGGTAAATTTCGACTGATGCTTACAATTTGGCAAGTCAATTTTTTTCTCACTTTTTAATGAAAAAAAATGATTACCATATCGGAAATTTCGAATTAGGCAAAATACTATCGCATATATCTTTTCCTAATTGCAACTGATTAATTGTTTATTAAAAAAATGGATTGCGTATAAATCGGGTTAATTTAGGTAAATTTTCGACATGACAATTTTGTAAAAGTCAAAATTCTCTCTTTTTTATTTAAAAAGGTTATTTACCAAAAAAATCGAGAATTTTGAATTGAGCAAAATACTATAACATGTATATTTACCTAATTGCAATATATCATGTTTATTAAAAAAATCGAATTGCATAGAA